TGACACACTGGGTGACAGGGAATGTTCAAAGGACTATTCGATCATTTGTTTTGCATCAGAGCTGCCCATAGGACCACCTGGATTTGTCATGCTTGTCAGGGTTAGAACACAGACTTTCATCCTGCCTTTGTTACTGAGAAGTGGGTTTTTATTTTATTTTGCTTTGTTTTGTGGCTGTGTCACACAGCTTGCAGGATCTTAGTTCCCCCACCAGGGATCAAACCTGGGCCCCTTCAGTGAAAGCGCCGAGTCCTAACCTCTGGAAAGCCAGGGAATTCCCAGAGAAGTGGGCTTTTGTAATATCAACTGCACTAGTTGTGACAACTTTGGAAACTAGAAGTATCCTCTCCATTAAAGATGAAGTGACTTTGGTGCTTGGGACTAGGCTACGTGACTTGTCTGGCTCACACAGTGAGTTGACAGCTATGAGGGCACCCCTGATTCTACCAGTTCTCCAGTAGCTGCCGCTATGTGTTTCAAGAGGGGACACCGGCAGCAGAACACATTGCCAGGTGAGGAAACCCATGAGAGGTAAGCCAGACACCGGCATTGCCTCCTTCAGTGCGTGATGCTTTACTGGTTGGTCAAGTAATGAGCGTAATTGCACCCCAGGGAGGGGTTACCAACATGATTGAGCAAAGTTGTTTCTAATCTCCTGTTTTCATTCATACAAAAGACACACCCCGTCTTTGCCTACACATTTCTATAAAACACAGCACTTCTCTAGCCAAGAGACTACTCTTCCCCAAGTAGTGCAAATCCAGATTCTGTCTGGGATATGACACCCGTGTGGATAGTATATATTGCTGCTGTTCTTCCTGAATTTTAATTTCTGGAGGCATAAGATACTTTCTTTTTCACTGAGATTACTGAAGAAGATTAAGTAAAGCTATCTAATTAGATGTAAGTAGCTATTACTAAAGTATTTAGGCGAACCTAGGCTGGAAGATACTGCCTAACTGAGTCATAGGAAAGAGAAAGAAATCTTCTCACCCAGAGTTTAGTGATTTCTGTTTGTTAGGGCATGCTATCAAATCCTTTAAGAATGACTTTCTAAAATTTACAAAAATACATGTTTATACAATAAAATGAAGAATACAGTCAGTCATATGTTTAAAAAAGCGAGCAATAATTTTACTGCCCAGAGATAATCACTTGCTAATATTTTGATGTGTTTGCTTCCAGAAAGTTTTCTATGCCCAAGCTGAACTGCTTACATGTGCTGATGTCTAGGCACCTATCAACCAGGTGCTAAGTAAAACATACCAGAAAGCAGATAAAAACAGGTAGGGCTGAAGATATTAATAAAAACGTCATCCTCAAAACTGTGGGGAAAAAAATCAAGAGAAGACTTGCAGTCATACAGCTTGTAGGGCTTCAGAGACCACTAGTGCAATCTTTTCCTCTGTGATGGGACCCTGAGAGAGAATGCGACCAGCTGAGAGCCAGAACTAAAATCCAGGAGCTGAGGCTTTCGGCATCATCTCCCTGTTCTCACAACGCTTATAACCAACTTTGTTAGGTACAGGACTGGATTTAATGATTGATGAACTCCGGCTCATCAGTTGTGGCACGCGGGATCTTTTGTTGTGGTGCACGGGTTTAGTTGCCTGGTGGCATGTGGGATCTTAGTTCCGGGACCAGGATTCGAACTGGGGTCCCCTGCATTGCAAGGTGGATTCTTAACCGCTGGACCACCAGGGAAGTCCCAATGAACACTGGCTTTTTGTTTTGTTTTGTTTTGTTGGCTACACTGAGTGGCATGCAGGATCTTAGTTCCCCAGCCAAGGATCGAACCCAGACCCCCTGCAGTGGAAGCACAGAGTCTTAACCACTGGACAGCCAGGGAAGTCCCTGAAGTCTGGCTTTGAAATGAACATGCTTGGTATGAGAGGGGAAGAATAATATAATGTCAGCAGATCCTTTTTAACCCACCCAAATGATATTTGGTAGAGATTAAGTCCACTACTTAAGTGTTTAGTCAGAGAATGTGAGAATAGCAAGAAACTTGAGCGGTCCTATACAGTTTATGGCCCCATTATATAGACAGGAAAACTGAGGCCTGAAGAGGTAAGATGACTTGCTAAGGAAGCTCAGCCAGTTTGTGGCAGAGCTGGGAGCAGATCTCATCTCCTGACTCCAAGGTTCTAAAAACAGTGTAGAATGTCGTGCTCATGAACATCAAAAGAGAACTTCCAAATGATCCCACATACTCCGGATCAACAGGTGCTCCCTTATTTTGCCTTCCTTACTCTGTCTTCAATCGGACTATTCCAAATGTGATAACGAACCTAGGCAATGGTCACCCATGACTGCCAACGTCACAAAAAGAGACTATTGGCAGTGATGTGCCTCATGATTTGGATGTATGAAGTAGTTACCAAGAAATTCAAATCTGAATCAGGATAAAGCATAGGGGACTTCCCTGGTGGCCCAGTGGTTAAGACTCTGCGCTCCCAAAGCAGGGGGCCTGGGTTCAATCCTTGGTTGGGGAACAAGATCCCACATGCCGCAACTAAGACCTGGAGCAGCCAAATAAATAAATAAATATTAAAAAAAAAAGAATAAAGCATACATCACTATCAAATATCTAGGAGGTAGAAGAATATGTTACAGACTTCCAGGAATATAATCAGAAAAATCTAGAATGCGGGAAACCAACAGGACAAATAACTTGGCTTCTTCAGTAAATAAGTACCAAGAAAAAGTAAGATTGAGGGGGGGAAATCTACATATTAAAAAGACCTGAGAGGAACTTCCCTGGTGGTCCAGTGGGTAAGACTCTGAGTGCCCAAATGCAGGCAGCCCAGGTTCCATCCCTGGTCAGGGAACTAGATCCTGCATGCATGCTGCAACTAAGAGTTCACATGCCCCAACTAAAGATCCTGCATGCTGCAACTAAGACCAATAAATAAATAAATAAATATTTAAAAAATAAAAAAGACCTGAGAAGACAAATAAGTCAAATGCGATGTATTGGCATTGTTTTTGGATCCTGATTTGAACAAACTGTTAAAAAAAAAAAAAAGACACAGGTACATTAATACCAACCTTACAGAAATAAAAAGGATCATAAGAGAACTTTATGAACAACTGAATGCCAACAAATTAGATAATTTAGATGAGACAGATACATTCCTAGAAGGACACAAACTATTGAAATTGAAATTTAAGAGGAAATAGAAAATCTGAACAGACATAACAAGTAAAGAGATTGAATTAGTAATAAAATAACAAAACAAAACAAAACTACCTGCAAAGAAAAGCTAAGGCCCAGACAGCTTCACTAGTGAATTTTATGAAACATTTAAAAAAGAATAAATAGCAATATTTTATAAACTCTTCTAAAAAAATAAGGAGGGAATACTTCCCAGCTCAACTCATTCTGTGTGGCCAGTATTACCCTGGTACCAAAAACAAAGACATCACAAGAAAATTAGAGACCAATACGTCTTGTGAATATAGATGCAAAAGTCTTCAACAACATACTAGCAAATAAAAATTCAGCAACATATTAAAAGGATTACATACCATGACCAAGTGGGATTTATCCCACGAATTTATCCTAGGTTGTTTTGACATTTGAAAATCAATGTAATACACAATACTTAATAAAGGACAAAAACCACATGATCATCAAAATAGACACAGAAAATGGACTTGTTAAGATCCAAAAGTCTTTAAGGATAATGATAAAATACTTGACAAACTAGGAAGAAAAGAGACCATCCTCAATCTGATAATGGCCATATATGAAAAACCCACAGCTAACATCATATTTAATAGTGAAAGACTGAATGTTTTCCCCCTAGGTTCGTGAATAAGACAAGGATGTCCACTCTCACCACTTCTGTTCAACATTGTACCAGAGGTTCTAGCTGGAAAATTAGACAAGAAAGTGAAATAAAAGGGATCCAGTTTGGAAAGGAAGAATCAGAAAGAATCCCTATTTGCAGATGACATGATTTTGTATACAGAAAATGCCAAGGAAGCCACTGCAAAACTAATAAATGAGTTCAGCAAGGTTGCAGGATACAAGATCGATATGCAAAAGTTAATTATATTTCTACACACTTGCAATGAACATTCTGAAAATGAAATTAAGAAAACAATTCCATTTATAATAGCGTCAAAAATACAGGAATAGATATTCTGCAAATGAATTGCAGAAGTTGTACTATGAAAACTACACATTGATGAAAGTAATAAAAATGATCTAAATAAATGGAAAGATATTCCATGCTCATGAATCAGAAGACTCAATATTAAGTGGCAATACTCTCCAAACTGCTCTACAGAGTCAATGCAATTCTTACCAAAATTATGACTGCCTTTTGTTTTTCAGAAATGGACAGGCTGATAGCAAAATTCATATGGAAAATCAAGGAACCCCAAATAGCCAAAACAATCCAAAGAAAAATAAAGTTGAAGGGCTTACATTGTCCAATTTCAAAAAATTACTACAAACCTACAGTAATCAAAACAGTGTAATACTGGCATAAGAATACACATGTCAGTGGAATAGAATTTACAGTCCAGAAATAAACCCACACATTTATGGCCAACTGGTTTTTGATAAGGGTGCCAAGACAATTCAATGGAGGAAGAATAGGTTTTTTAACAAATGGTGCTGCGACAACTGAATAGGTACATGCAAAAGAATGAAGTTGGACCCCTGCTTTATATCATATATAAAAATTGACTCAAAATGGGTCAATGCCTAAATGTAAGAGCCCAAAGTGTAAGACTCTAGGAAGAAAATGTAGGATTATACAATGGTTTCTTAGATACCAAATACAAAGTGACAAAGAAAAAAAAATAGATAAATTGGACATCAAAATTAAAAACTTTTGTGCTTTGAAGGGCATTATCAAGAAAGTGAAAAGGCGACCCACTGAATGGGAGAAAATATTTGCAAATCATATATATTATAAAGGACTTAAATTGAGAATATATAAAGAACTTTTACAACTCAATAATAAAAACGACAACACGGACATTCCCTGGTGGTCCAGTGGTTAGGACTCCGCACTGCCACTGCAGGGGGCCCAGGTTCAATCCCTGACTGGGGAACTAGTATTCTGCAAGCTGCCTGGCCAAAAAAAAGACAACACAATTAAAAAATGGACAAAGATCTGAATAGACATTTCTCTGATGAGAGGTCCAAGTTGGCAAATAAGCATATGAAAAGATGCTTGACATCACTAGTCATTAGGTAAATGAAAATCAAAACCACAGTGAGGGACTTCCCTGGTGGTCCAGTGGTTAAGACGCTGAGCTTCCTATGCAGGGGGCATGGGTTCGATCACTGGTTGGGAAACATTTTAGTTTTTTATTGAAGTATAGTTGATTTATGACATTGTGTTAGTTTCTAGTGTACAACAAACTGATTTAGTTTTATATATATTCTTTTCCATTATGGTTTATTACAGGGTATTGAATATAGTTCCCTGTGCTATACAAGAGGACCATGCTGTTTTTATATTTTATATACAGTAGTTTGTATCTGATAATCTTAAACTTCTAATTTATCTGTCCCAAACTCCCTTTCCCCTTTGGTAACCATAAGTTTGTTTTCTATGTGAGTCTGTTTCTGTTTTGTAAATAAGTTCATTTGTATCATATTTTAGATTCCACATATAGGTGATATCATATGTGATTTGTCTTTCTCTGACTTGCTTTACTTAGTATGAGAATGTCTAGGTCCATCCCATCCATGTTGCTGCAAATGGAATTATTTCATCCTTTTTTTTTTATTCTTTTTTATCTTCTTTATCTATTCATCTGTTGATGGACATTTAGGTTGCTTCCATGCTGGCTATTGTAAATAGTGCTGCAATGAACATTGGGGTGAAAGTATCTTTTTGAATTAGAGTTTTCTCCAGGTATATGCCCAGGAGTGGGATTGCTGGGTCATATGGTAGTTCTATTTTTAGTTTTCTGAGGAACCTCCATACTGTTCTCCATAGTGGCTGCACCAATTTACGTTCCCACTAACAGTGTAGGAGGGTTCCCTTTTCTCCATACCCTCTCCAGCATTTATTATTTGTAGACTTTTTATGATGACCATTCTGACCAGTGTGAGGTGATACCTCATTGTAGTTTTGATTTGCATTTCTCTAATAATTAGTGATATTGAGCATCTTATCATGTACCTCTTGGCCATCTGTATGTCTTCTTTGGAGAAATGTCTATTTAGGTCTTCTGCTCATTTTTTGATCGGGTTGTTTGTTTGTTATTGAATTGTATAAGCTGTTTGTATATTTTGGAAATTAAGCCCTTGTCAGCTGCATGGTTTGCAAATATTTTCTCCACTCCATAGGTTGTCTTCTTGTTTTGTTTATGGTTTCCTTTGCTGTGCAAAAAGCTTTTACATTTGATTAGGTCCCATTTGCTTATTTTTGCTTTTATTTCTGTTGCCTTGGGAGACTGACCTAAGAAAACATTGCTACAATTTATGTCATGTCCACACAAAATCTTGTAATAGAATGTTCAGAATGCCATTATGTATAATAGCCAAAAAAGTGGTTTGAAACAACTTAATGTCCATCAGCTAATGAATGGATAAACAAAATGTGGCACATATATATATATAAAATAGAATTTTATTTGACGATAAAAAGGAATGAAGTAATGTTACATGCTACAGTATAGATGAACCTTCAAAACATGCTTAAGTGAAAGAAGCCAGTCATATACTGCATGATTCCATTTACATAAAATGTTCAGAATAGGCCAGTCTATAGACAAAAAGTTGATTAGTGGTTGCCTAGGGCTGGGTAGTGACTACTAATGAGCATAGGGCTTCTTTTTGGAGTGATGAAAATGTTCTAAACTGTACTGTGGTGATGACTGTGCAACCCTTTGAATGCATTACTTTAAATGGGTTAACTGTATGGTATACTAATTATACCTCAATCCATCTGGTAGCAAAAAAATTATGAGATAATTAGGGAAATTTGAAGATTGACAGGGTAGTGATAATACTAGTTATTACAGTTGAACTGCGTGGGTCCATTTACACATGGATTTTTTTCAGTAAATACATACAGTAGTATACGATCTGAGGTTGGTTAAATCCACAGATGTGGAACCTTGGATTCAGAGGGCTGACTGTGGGACTTGAGCACATGTGAATTTTGGTATCTGCTGCAGGTTCTGGAACCAATCCCCCATGGATACCGAGGGACGACTGCACTGTTGATTTTTCAAGTGTGATAATGGCCTTGAGGTTATATTTATTAAAAAAATATTATCTTTTAGAAATACTAAAATATTTGTGGATGTAAATAATTAGAAACTACTCTTTTGACCCTACCTATTGCTTGAAGTTTTACCCCACTTTTCTGCCCCCCACCCTTGAACCAAACTCTTCCTCCAAATTACCTATCGCCCCCTCTCTCCACGTCTGTTCCTACCACTGTCTTTTTATTTATTTATTTATTTTTGGCTGTGTTGGGACTTCGTTGCAGTGCACGGGCTTTCTCTAGTTGTGGTGAGCGGAGCCTACTCTTCGTTGCGGGCTTCTCAATGCGGTGGCTTCTCCTGTGGCAGAGCACGGGCTCTAGGCATGTGGGCTTTAATAGCTCTGGCTCGGGCTTCCCTGGTGGCGCAGTGCTTGAGAGTCCGCCTGCCGATGCAGGGAACATGGGTTCGTGCCCGATCCAGGAAGATCGCACATGCCGCCGAGCGGCTGGGCCCGTGAGCCATGGCCGCTGAGCCTGCGCGTCTGGAGCCTGTGCTCCGCAACGGGAGAGGCCACTACACTGAGAGGACCGCGTACCGCAAAAAAAAAAAAAAAAAAAAAAATTTACAATTCCCCATCCTGTTTATTGAACCTTACTTTTCACTTGTCCTTTTTTTTTCTTTCTTTCCCCATTTCAGTTAGACTGCTCTCTTCATTGTACTCCCAGTATGATACCCACTTCCTCTTGAGCCCTTGCTCCACGCAATCTTCTCTGGAATGCTCTTTCATCATCACCCATTCATTTTCAAAAGGCCGCTTGTGCTTTCGCCCCAAAGATGTCCCCTTTTCTAGATCCAACCGGGAGCCACATCCTCCTTGTCATCGCTACTCCTTCAGACTACAGTCCGCTGCCTTCCCTGCACTCCACAGAGGAGTCTACACGGGGCTTTGTTTTAGCTGGGTGTCTCCAACCACAACATCTAAGCCCCCGACGATCAGGTGTAGGATCTCACAGGTCCCTCAACACACGACACCCCACTAGCAGGAGCTCCGATACAAGAATCGAGACGGAGGGAAGCCAATTCACACTTTAAGAGTCGTTTCCACGGAGCAGTGTGTAATCTCACGAAAGCTTTCAACGTCAAATTACTCGCGAGCGCAGGGGCCAGAGGTGGAACGACTGTGGGTCCTCCGGAGTCCTCCAAGGGAGCCCTGTAACTTGCACAGCTTTTAACCCTCCGAGACACTCTCCCACACGTCTTCCAAGAGCAACGCGACGGGTGGACACAAGCAGCCTCATTTGTGCAGCTGCTGGAGGAAGAAAGTCTCAAGAGTCTCCGAGGCCTCTACGGAGCTGGCTCGGCTTCAAAAAGGGAAAAGAACCGTTAAAAAGGTGTGCTTCCGGCTCCAGCGCCCGCGCCTCCTCGAGAGTGAAAGGGGGAGCCGAGGTACGGGAAGTCGCAGGGCACAATTTCTTTCGTCCCGGACGCCCGGCCGGGGCGCGACGCGCGTAACCCAGAAGTGAAAGGCCGGTTCCTTCAGGTATTAGACACCCCCCTCCCCCACTGGAGGAAGTTCCGGCCGGACGACTTTTACCCAGGCTTTCTTGGTTCCTCCTGAGCTCTACGCTCCCTGCTTTCTGGTGCCCTACTGCCATGGCCGCTTAGCTCCGACCCTCCCCGCCTTTCCTGAGTTTTGCCGCAACTCCTCAGCGGGGGGGCCCAACTCCATTCTGGCCCCCCTTTCCTTAAAGAACTTTTCCCTACGGGTCCCCATCAGGGCCAATTGACGTTCTCCAAGGAGGCAAAAGCTCCTAGGACTCTCAGGTCCCGAAGCCCGGCGCAGCCAGGGCAGCGCCTGCGCGGGGGCGTTACCATAGAGAAGCAGGCGCCTCTCTGGTCTCGGTTTACACTCTCTATGGTCTAGCCGGGTCGTGGCGGTAAGGGGAAAAAAGAGAGACCGCACTACGCAGGCGCTCTGGGCTTCTAATTTTTTTTTTTTTTTTTTAATCCCCGCACCAAGCGCTTAACCTCATTGGGGTGGAGGAGAAGGCGGCGGCCGTCTGGTCTGCAGGGGCAACAGGAGCGACTAATACGGCTGTAAGTTCCCGGTTAGGGCGAGGATGTGTAGACCCCAGCCCTTCCAGGCCCCGGCCCCCCCTCGCGGTGGTGGGCGCCGAGGCTGGGTGGGGGTGAGGTCCAGCGCTGTCATCCGCTCTTGGGTGCACTTTGGGGGGAGGGGGCGGCCCTTAGGTGGGAGCCGGGCGGGGAGCGGGAGGGGAGGGCTGTTTATCCAGCCCGCAGGTCGCTGATCCCAGGCTGCTTTGCAGAGGGAGGGGGGCGGCTGTGGGATGAGTCCGGCTTTGTGTGTCCCCCTCTCTTCTCCTCTCCCGGACCCCACCCCGGGCCCCCTTCCCGATCCGAGTCTCCCAGGCCTGGTGGGCGAAGCCGCGTTTGAAAAGAGCGGGTTTCGCGAGGGGAGGGGGCGAGGGGGAGAAACCCACCATAACTATAGTCACGGGCGAGTGATGGGTGTGGAGGAAGATCCGGGGGGAACGAAACGGGTCCAGGCGGGCCAGACAAAGCCGAGCGCTGGCCGGGCCGAATGCGCAGGGAGCCCGCGGTTCCTGGGCCCGCAGCGAGCTTCTTCGGAGGCTGGCAAAGCGGACAAGTGCTGAGTTAAGCCTTGTGCAGCCTCCTCAACTTGCCTTTGTTGTTCTTCGGTATTGGCAGGGACGCTCTGACGGAGAGGAGTGTGTGCTCTTGCACGTTAGCCTGGTTGGCTACAATGGAGCTAATCGCATCTTACTTTCCCGTTTTCCGAGCCGCTCGGATGAGTCTGGGGTTTTCCAGAGTCTCACTTATTACATAATTTTTAATACTTGTTT